AGAACCCATTATATTGGGAATTAGAAGGCGACATCAGAAGAATGAATAGCAACTGTAAAGCATTTTCCAGAACAGAATTGGATGAAGAATGTTAATGAGCGGCCTACGCTCGTCCATGAAGGGTTAACAGACGTAAATAAGTAATGCTAAATCTGGAACTAGAGTTAAGTATGGTAATTAGTTTTGGAATTTCTATTCATTGTTCAATTTTGTTAGGAAAAGTTTATTATTATTATTATTATTATTATTATTATTATTATTAATGGCTTTATTCGATAGTATATAGAATACTCAGTACAAAGTATTTCAACAAGTTTCCATTTCGTTCTTCTTGGTTGATCCTGACGGCAAATATTGAATGATCTTCAATCAGATGTTAACAGTTCAGGAATCGATATCTGGATCATGTATATTCTTTTCAATATATATTGCCAACAACCATGATATCTCTGATTAAACTCTTTTATAGCTTGTACAGTCAAAAAATCGTGAACTTTTCACAAATGTACCTAAATAGGTTATGTGATTAATAACCATAATGATCAATTGAAACAAACAAACGGAACAGATAATTAGTTAAAATATCTTTTAGTGGCCCATAGATCTGACTCCGATTAGATCGTAATGAATGTTTGTTATCGCCTATCCTCGTATGCAATCATCAACTTAAATCGCGTTAGTCAATAACGGAATTTAATAATTCAAATAACGAGAATCGACTTTTGCGGACATAGACTTTGTATATAGAGCGAATGGAAGAGAACAAAGCAAAACGACGCACAGTGGAGATGGCGGGTAAGCCAACGTCCATTTAATCAAGCGTTAATCAATAGTTATAGTTACACAAAAGTAAGTTACAGACATATGATGAGCAATGGGATTGGAAATGTACGCACACATACGCGCTCATATAAAAAACAATCAAGATTGATAAGCGAATAAATAACAAGGTTAGAATGTGACTCAAGTAGAATGAATGAAATGATCTGTCCGAAACCTAGAATAAGACATATGAGCTTAATATAATAACCGACACTACAATCTTAATGACAAGAATAGGTAATCCAGATATTCAATCAGGTCACGTTTTATGTAAATGTTAGCTATAGAGTTGAAATAATACAGTTAAATTAGTATTGTTTTTTCTTCTTCTTGAGGTTAGATCACCATGGAAAACTTGGTGGAAGCACTAGAGAGCCGTTGGATGACGGCTCAGTGATCTACAGGTTAATCGTCACTAGTAAGTATATTATTATTATTATTATCAGAAAGGGGATTTTGTGGAGATTTTAGTAATGCTCACTAGTGAATGGTTTCAAGAGGTATTTTACTGGAGTTCTAATGATAAGACATGGCCGATGCAATTTAACTGTATCTATTGTGAGATAGCAACACTTTTAAGACAATGATAGACAGTAGGTCAATTTTTTGAAATTTAACTGTTATAACTTGTAACCGCCGATTAGTGTGCAGTGACTTATCGATCGGATCAATGACGCGTAAACCCGTATGAGCAGCCTACAGTTCTGATTGGCCATGCTTTCCGCCTAGCCCAGCCATTTAAGCCCAGAACGCCAATCCGAGACTCTGCCATCTGAATCATCATATCTCAAACATACTGAGTTTATATACCAATCACACAGACCATAACGTACCAATAAAATATGAAACAACATTTGTACAAGAATTAACCAGATGTGGCTGTGAATGTGGGAGGTAGCAGTTAATATACTGGGTATAACTCAAGAATGGTAAAACGTATAATAATAGTTCATAGGTCAAAATAAAGCTTATAATAAGAGGAATGTGAATATGCATAGTTTAGTTACTTAATAACCATACAATGGAAATATACGTTTAGTATTGGTCCCCATCAATAGATCCCAAAAGTTACCATTCATTATTCTTGTCGGGACATAACATAAACATTACCACAATTGAATGCTAACTCAATCAACCTAAACGTTTAGTAGTCATGTGTGAGATTAAAATTTATTGATTTTAAATCATGAATATGCACTACTGAAGAGTCTTATACGAAGACGAAACAGTCATCTTTACAATTAATCCATTTTTGTTATCTTAATTTAGTCTGAACTTTCAGACAGGCGTTTTTTTGTTTGTTTGTTTGTTTGTTGTTGTTGTTTATGACTCATAGTTTTAAAGGAAACAATTATTGTCCTGAAATTTTATTTAATCAATAAACAAAATTTTTTTATAAGGGAAAATGATGAAATACGCCCAAGTTCTCCAGGTTTCCCGTCGGGTTTCTTTTTTTAAAATTTTTTTTTCACTTTTTACCTAGAAACATAAACATTAACTAAAGATGGATAGTGACTAGCAGTATAATCTTGTTTGACGCGCGTTTCGTCCTGTTTGGGACTGGTCAGCTGGATGTAATTGCATCTCAGTTGGTGTCCACTCTGGGATTCGAACTCAGTACTGTTCGCTTCAAACGCCATCGTGTTATCCAATTAGCTACTAAGTCCTGATAGCCACTTGCTTATTCAATGGAGTGAAGTTTCATTCACTTGGTATTGTTTTACTTGTAGATTAAGGCAATATTGAAGCAATACGCACAGTATGCACATATGCCAATAAGAGACTGATCAATTTCAGTCCTAAAACATCAATGAGAAGATTCAAGTAAAACAATACCAAGTGAAATAAACATTAACTGTATGTACTCCATTATACATGGGTCAATAGGCGAGACTATTATTTATGGATGAACCAATGAGATATAAGAGGTTTCGGATTTTGGCGCGAAATTCACTCATCCATTTGGTTAAATAGAGTTTTCACATTATAGCTGATGTCAGTTCGTGATGAAAAACACCCCTAAATCTAATTCCTAACACTAACCATCAACTGTAAATCATAATTGTAATTTCTCAGTTAGTCAGTCAGTCAGTCAGCTACAGAGCTAACACGAAAATTACCCATAAAATGATCGTATGTGACCGACCTCAAGCAGTTGTCCCTTGGGCACTGCGATCACGTTATCAGGTCACTACGAACACCTCTAATCCAATTTCGTTTTCAAGTATCACCAGAAGAACCCTTCCATCATTTCTTAGGAATCCATCTATAAATGAAAAAAAGATGTGATGGGGCTAATTGAAATTTCAATATATATTCTTAAATAGTTTGCCAATTCATTCGGTATTTTTAAAGAAAAAAAAAACAAAAATGAATTTTGATCGAGTTTTGTTCTCTGAACTGGATAGTTTGATCGTGTTCATACAGAAAATATAGTTGTTCTCAAGTAAAAGCCTGCCTTTTGGCAAAATTCTGCCATTTTCGAACAATGAGAAGCGTATTACACTCATAGGATTTTGAGATGGTGGAGATAATTTGTAGCTTATGATCAAACCATCTAGCTCAGAGAACAAAACTCCATCAAAATTATCCATCTGAGCTATAAATCTTCTCCATCACAAAAATGAATTCTCTGCTGACAGTGTTTAAAATAGTTATAAGCCAATTTCGGATCAGACTATAATTGACGAAGTAACCAATTCGATATAAGATAAGTGAACTTGGATTTTGGCGCAAAATTCACATATCCATTTGATTAAATAAACTTTTGAAATGATAACTGATGTCAGTTCGTGATGAAAATCTTAACTATCACCTGTAAATCATAATTCTTGTTCCTCTCACACTGGTTTATAACCTTCATTTGATCTTAGTTATTAGGTGGACATTCTTAAGGTCAGTCTTAAAGTGGCTCAAAGGTTGTCCATAACTAAGAGTCTCGTTGGGTCAACATACTTAGTGCTTAATATACTACTACTACTACTACTACTACTACTACTACTACTACTACTACTACTACTACTACTACTACTACTACTACTACTACTACTACTACTACTACTACTACTACTACTACTACTACTACTACTACTACTACTACTACTACTACTACTACTACTACTACTACTACTACTACTACTACTACTACTACTACTACTACTACTACTACTACTACTACTACTACTACTACTACTACTACTACTACTACTACTACTACTACTACTACTACTACTACTACTACTACTACTACTACTACTACTACTACTACTACTACTACTACTACTACTACTACTACTACTACTACTACTACTACTACTACTACTACTACTACTACTACTACTACTACTACTACTACTACTACTACTACTACTACTACTACTACTACTACTACTACTACTACTACTACTACTACTACTACTACTACTACTACTACTACTACTACTACTACTACTACTACTACTACTACTACTACTACTACTACTACTACTACTACTACTACTACTACTACTACTACTACTACTACTACTACTACTACTACTACTACTACTACTACTACTACTACTACTACTACTACTACTACTACTACTACTACTACTACTACTACTACTACTACTACTACTACTACTACTACTACTACTACTACTACTACTACTACTACTACTACTACTACTACTACTACTACTACTACTACTACTACTACTACTACTACTACTACTACTACTACTACTACTACTACTACTACTACTACTACTACTACTACTACTACTACTACTACTACTACTACTACTACTACTACTACTACTACTACTACTACTACTACTACTACTACTACTACTACTACTACTACTACTACTACTACTACTACTACTACTACTACTACTACTACTACTATTATTATTATTATTATTATTATTATTATCATTATTATCATTATTAATATTTACTATTAAAGAATAATCTCATTGGTTAATATACACTCTGATTCAAGCCAATAAATATTCAACTAATTATCCATTGGATTTAAATATTGAATTATTTTTTCAAAAAAAAATTTAATTTTCAAAAAAGAAATCAATAAATCAATTTTTTATCAACCAATCAGTGAGCAGATCATGTGTGAACATTTGACCTTGAGAGAATTTAATCCCATAAAAGAGAGTATATCAATTTAATGTTTCATATATAATCTCGACATTTTCTTTTTTTTAAAAAAATTTAAATGATTCTAGAAACATGCGGATATTTAAAATTTAAATAAAACACACAAAAAAGAACAAACAAAATAAAAATACACCTTGTTTCTTGTTGTCAAGAGAATATACATTACATATCTATATCTATTTAATCATTATTATGTCACAAGAAGTTTGGCGTAATAAAACTGAAAGTATTAGTTCATTAGATCGTTTAGCTAGAAATACATTAACAATGGATTTACCCGAAGCAAGAAGTTGTCGTGAAGCACGTGAACAAAGTCGTAAAGAAATGCATGTATTAAATGAGAAATTAGCATCACAACTTGAAAAGGTATCTATTTTTATATATATATATAATTATTATTTTATTACTATAAACTAGATCTTAGAGTCTTTTAATTGTATATTTTGAGTCAATTGAAGCTAGAACATCATGGAAAACCTAGAAACATTGGATAACCGTTGACCATCTACGATCTCGCCTCGAGAAATTTGAACTCAGGACCTATCGGTCTCACGCACGAACACTAAACCACCAGACCATTAAGTTGGTCGGTATTCAACGGTGTTAATATCTAATTTCAACAAATCCATGAAATTGCGCAGCTATTTATCTAACAACAGACTCAGTTGAACGCTACTGGTTACTACTTCTCACTAGAACTCCGGGAAATAACTCTTGGAGACAGTCACTAGTGAGCATATGATGATTATAATGCGAGAGGGGTTTTGTGGAGATTGTAGTAATTTCAATTGTTGAAATCATAAATCGATTGAAGCTAGACCATCAAGGAAAACCTGCAAGCACTGGTCGGTCGTTTCGTCCTATTGTGGGACTGTTGAGCAGTGCGCATCCACGATCCCACTTCGCGAGATTCTAACCCAGGACCTTTCAGTCTCACAGGCGAACGCTTAACCATTAGACCACTGAGCCTATCGGCATCCAATGGTGTTAATATCTAACTTCAACTAATCCATGGAATTGAGCGACACATCCATCATTGTTTTCACTGTTTTACTATCTCACAAACGGGTCTGCAAAATTCTCACAGTAGGACGAAATGGCCATCCAGTGTTTCCAGGTTTTCCATGGTGGTTTAGCTTCAATCGACCCATGATCTCAACTACTAAAATTACCATAATATCCACAAAACTCCTTCTCAATTTAAATAAAGTGTCTTTGTGAGTTTCACATCAGTATGTGATTCGTTTCTACTATGAGAACTTGGATGGCAGTTTATTTCAGTTCCAAGTTAATAAACCTATTCTATGAAATAAATGTTTGTTTTAATACTCGATTCAATCATGATACAATATAGATCCATCAATTCTTTTCTGTTCAATACAGTCTGATCTTAGTTGCTTATTTAACCCCAACTAAGTACTAAAGTCATAATGTCCGTAAGTGAACTTGATCCTAATAATCAAAGTGTCTAGGCTATTACTTAAGTTCTTTAATTTTACAATATTGATTCATATGAGCCTGTGTATCAAACTTGTGATCGCATGTAATAAAAAGAGACTGAATAATAAGTTTCAAGCTGTTTACCTGGAATTTTTCTGAGAGAGATAATCTCTTAATTTATTCATTCAAAATAAGCAAACCTTTCACTATGTTCTCGGTATTTGTGATTTATTATTTTTTTGATTGAGATGATGAATCGATTGATGTTAGAGCATCATTAAAAACATCAGTCACTTCATGATCTCAATTAAAAACTGAATAATCTCCACAACCATGTGCTCACTAGTGACTAGTTTCGTGAGGGAATTCTCAGAGTTCTAGTGAGAAGCTGTGAAAGATGGAGCTAATCCATGTCGGGTAGAGACAGGTATTTTCCTCAGTACAATAAAGGATGGTCGCGCAATTTCATGAATTGTTTGGGGTTAAACATTAACATCGTTGAATACCGGCCATCTCAGTGGTCTAGAGGTTAGGCGTTCACGCACGAGACTGAAGGCCCTGGGTTCGAATCTGGATGCGCACTGCTGAGTAGTCCCACGATAGGGTGAAACGGCCGTCCAGTGCTTCCAGGTTTTCAATGGTGGTCTAACATCAATCGATTCATGATCTTAATTAAAAACTATACTGATAATTTGTGATTTAATTTGAAGTTGTTAAATATTTAGTTAGAGGTGATTTGAACAAATATTAGTGATGCGATCGTATTCAGAATTTAAACTGATTCTAACTAGTCTTAAACTCTTTACTTTATTGTGGATCTATCCTGATAAGAAATTATATCATGTAAAAAAAGGAGCGTTTACCTGGTGATTCTCTCAGACAATACATTTGATAAGTTAAAAGTTGTGGTGTGAGTTACATGATTTATGAATGCTACTTGCCTATGTTTAAAAAATAAGTTATTTATGGGTTGTGTTCGTTATAGACTGATCTCAATTGGGTACCTTTGAGAACCAGGTAACATGGGACAGCTTTTGCGCCCTAGTATAAAACTCTTCCGTATTACATCACATTAATCTCACCATAGATCAAACCCAGCATATGCCGTAAGATCTAGTAGTCCTGGATTCTAACATTTCGAATGAGTTTTATAGGGAAATGAAAGCCAGTAGTTGGTTAGGTAGTTCAAGTGATGCGACTCAAGATCCATTGCAGTGTTGACTAAAACTGGCGTTTTTTAATAATCTTTCCACTTTTGTATATCTGGTCTCCTATGATACTTTATCATGTGAAACGAAGAACGTTTGTGCAAAATTTTATATATTTGTCAATCTTTATGTCTGTTGAGATGTACACGCTTTTGTACTTAACTTCTGGTCACATCTGTGGTTTTGTGTTCGAAAACAAATAAACCATTTAGGTGGAGTGGTTCAAAATTCAATCAGATGGCTTTCATTTGAGTCCTTTAAATCTCTAAGCTAATAGATGGTAATGTTTAATTGTGATAAGTTTTACAGATCTGAGCTTGACATCGCATGAAAAGTGTAAGATTATTGATTATTTTTAGTAATGGAAAATTTCTAAGGGCATCCAGTATAACTTAATACACCCCTAAAATAAAAAGCATTCATTATGTCATTAGAAATGAACTACCTTGCAGAAAATCTCCCGAAGTTCTCTAGTATGGCCGGAGGTGGTGAGAGTCAGCTCTCTCTCTCTCCAAATGCTCTCACGTGACCACGCGTATACAGCCACTACAACACAAGTTCTACTCACTCCATTCTTGTGTCATTACTATTGTCTACGAAATTGAAAAGACGAAAAGAGAATGTCCGATGCTCTAACTGGCTTGGTGGATATGGAAGATCCACATAGGGGAGATGGAAAACCCTCATTCCAAACAAGTAGTGTAAATGGACTTTAGTATTCTGAAGGAATAAATGGCGTATGAATCAATCGTCTGTCGTCGGTTACCATGGGACTGCATCTTCTGACGTTGTTCGATTGCCTTGTTGATCAGACCTTTATATGGAAGGTTCCGGGTGTGACCCTTTATGAAAACCAACTGTTTCAGTCTGTGCACCTGGGCAGTATCACAGCCTACACACAAATCAAGTGACTTTTGTGGCGTATATATAGTCGGTTCCTATTTGTACCAAGATTTATGTGTTCAAATAAATAAATAAAGTAAATAATCTTATTATTTGTTTAAGCTATGAGAACATGATCGACATAGCTGTACCATTATTTCTTCTGTTTTGATATAAGCCTGCTCATATTAGTGAAATTTCATTAATATTCAATGTTTGCATTGAAAATTCTCACAGTTTGTTTGAGCTATCCATATTGGAATAGCAATAGGATTCTTGTTATAAACTATTCAGTGTAAGGATCTCAAGATTTTATTTTTTGTAAGAGAAAAGTGTCATAATTTAATGAAGTATGTTAATAAAGGACATCTGTAGTGTCGGTTGATATGTTAAGCACATACATCTAATTCTAGCTTCTGGACAGGCCAACTTATCCATTCTTCTTGAGTCACGTTTTGACCTTGTTAATTACTCACTTATCAACCATGTGTTGAGGACGTTAGATCCCCAGAACTCACTTGGAAAAGGTCCTAATTTTGTAATTTTAATTTGAAAATTTGAATTTCTTTGTTTTCGCACCAAAACCGCTCTTTTCACCTTCATGTCGTATTTCCCACTCATAAGAATCTTAAACGTTATTGGTCAGTCATGTCTTTAAGTATGCTATTTTGTAACCCTTCCCAAAGACGGTTTTGTGCTGTATATATGTTTTGATTTGTGTCTGTTGTTATCACTCCCTCGTGCTTTTGGCTTTCTGCGGAATATATTTCCCAGTTCGGACTTCGACTTTTCTCTCTCTAATTAGTGGGTTCGGGACGCAACAGAATAGCTAGTTTATTGGTTTTTTGTTCACAAGTCTTTGTTCCGTTCGTAGACTAAGTGAACTCGTAACCGCTTTAAACCTAGTACCCTGACTGTTTTTATATGAGCGTATATGTATGTACACTTATTATTTCATTCATCAAATGTCTCTAACTTATTACTGTGTGACTATAAATATTGATTAACGCTTGATTAAATCGAGTAGACTAATTTGCCTTCTTTAATGCGCGTCATTTCTCTTCACTTTGTCTCTCTGATCGTCTGTTCATATTATTAATGTGTACAAAATATATGTATTCAAAAATCCATTTTCCTATTCGACTTATTTAATTCCTTTGTTCACGAACTCGATTTAAGTCGATGAAATAAACGAGGATAGCGGAAATGTCTATATCAATGACAATCAGCATAAAATCCAATTACAGTCAGATATAAGGCCACTAAATATCATTTCTACAGATTTACAGATTTTAATTGGTTATATGATAGTGGTCTAGCTTTACGATAACTGTTTCACTCATCCTAACGTTAATGTCAGATAAGTGACCAAGACAATTCAAACCAGAAAGTTTAATTGTTCGAATTATCTAGACACACTTAATTAATTGAAACAATAAATTTATTAAAAATGACATGAATCTTTAAATCCACTTAGAATTGTTTATTTGTATCTTCCCATTGATGTTTAGGACTGCAATTGATCAGTCTATTATTGGCATATATGCATACTGTGCATTATAAGCAAAGATGGGTGGTGGCTAGCAGTGGATTCTAGTTTGATGCGCGTTTCATCCTATTTCAGACTCGTCAGTTAGATGTACCTGCATCTCAGAGTTGATGTTCACTCTGGGACTCGAACTCAGTACCATTTTCTTCAAACTCTATCACGTTATTTACTTAGCTACTTAGTGCTGATAGCCACTTGTTTTTGCAATGGTATGAAGTTTAAATTCACTTGATACTGTTTTATATGTATCTTCTCATTAATGTTTAAGACTGCAATTGATCGGTCTC